GATAATGACATTTTTGTAAATATAGTTTTTTCTAACAAAAAATTTGAAGGTATAATAGGCACGGAATATTTTTTAATTATAAAAATAAAATAAAAACTATTCTAGTAATTAACCAATAAATAAGTGCCACACTAGTTTTTTTAGGACGGTGAGTGTTCGGTTTGCAATCTAATCAACCCACCCTGCTCAAGTCAAAAGAAACATAGTAAAAATATCACATGATGCTCGTATGGATTTGCGAGGCCAATCTAACGATTTTCAAGATTTAGAAACTGGTCCGGTTTGAAAGGATTAGTCAACTGTCTCCACATATATTATCTTTTTTTTGTCGTCTTATATTTTTTTTATCAAAGCTGGGCCACAACGGACTGGCCCACTAGTCCATTTATCTTCAAATGAGGGAGGAAGGAGTCGAACTCCCCACATGCCAAAGAACTGCAAGTGGATAACCACTGCACCACATGTTCTCGGCTCTCCACATATATTGTCTTAAATGAAAAAGTTGTAGGAACATAATTACTATAACTTTAGCAAAAAAAAAACATAATTACTATAATATAGACAAATTGATATTTGTAAGTAAAATATATAAATAAATCGATATTATGTTAACAATACTGTTACATGAATTAGAAGAACGGATTTGCAGACGGGAGAAATTCTTTCTATAATTTTAAAAACGTTATGCGGTGTGCATGATACAATTGCAACTATTCTATCTTGCACAACCCAAAAGCATAATCTAACGGATATATTTTATGTGTTGTATACTCATATACTAAATAAAATAAAGAGATAATAACTAAAACAATTTTGAAAAATCTCTTTGATAAGAGGGAAATGTCAAAGACCTTTTGAGTGACTTGTTTTCTCTCAATTGGAAGCCCTAGCCGCACAAACAAATTTGTCTTCGTTGCTCTCTCCGGTGGCCGGAATTGCTCTACACCACCGTGGGAGGGTTCTCCTTTGCTTTGTTTTTTGTTTATTAATTGCTTTAATTCCCACTAGATCGAGTTTCTTTGGCTTGGTTTTTCGGTTCCGATGAAGTTGGTGGTTTGGTTAGGTCTCTTGTCTTCTCTAGTTTGGGTTGATGTGGTGGCTCAACGAGGTTTCGTCGGAGAGAAAGTGTTTAGTTTTTCACAAGGATTTACATTCCTATTTTCATATTTTACTAAACCCAAGGTATATTCTCTTTAAACCCAATTTTTGTCTAAATTCCAAATTTTTGCATATTTTTATAATTCTCACAGATTTAGCTTACTAAGTTGTTCGACGATTGACATTGTAACGCCCGTGAACCGAAAATTGGATTTTTGGACTGTACGTCGATCGACGCAGGGTGTGTGTGTCGATCGACACAGGTGTTGACTTGTGAAAACTCGCGATTTCGGGTGTT